CTAATCATACAAAAGTTTTGTAATGCAGGAAAAAAGTTATCTGTGTAGTTTTAGGCAGCTCGTTCGTTTTGCGAATTCGAGTTTTCAATTCAAACTGAGATGTGACATTTTCTGAGAGCTTTTAACTGTAGCAGAAAAAGTTAGATGTGACATTTTCTAAAAAATTTTAACTGTAAAAATTTAAAACTGAAAATTTAAATCGGTAAAATGAGCGAGACCTTAACTTTTATTGCAAGTTGGGCATAGATACTCTGTTGGTAGGAAGATCAATAAATGGCGCTTCTATATTAACAAATACTGTAAATTACAAATGTCGTCGTTGTAGTTTAGTTGTTAAAACCTTTTTTTTAGCAAGGATCAATATGTAGTCGCTAAGAATAAGAACATCCATGGTTGCTAATTTTTCACTTGTTGTCGCGGATAAGTGATCGTCTAACAACTCGATGACGTGGTAGAGCCAGATTTAACAATGAAAAAAATTTAAAATAATCTGCGCCGAAAGTTTAGTGAAAACAAAAAGTAATCATGTTTTAACAACTCCTAGCTGTTCTTGTTCAGTCTTTTGCTTTCTATTCTTACGCCTGCGTGCTTTAGTGGTTTGCTTTTTGCGCCTTCGTGCATGCTTTCTAACTGTCGTTAAAAGATTAGACGACAGTTTGGTGAGCCATCATCTGTTCGACAATCGTTAAATGTCTGTAACATTTAACCACGATTAAAAAACGTCGTCTAATAACTAATTTTAGAAGACAATTTTTCAAAAAAATTGTGGTCTAAAGTTTTTTTTTTAAAATACTTTTGCTTTATTGAATGCATCATATTTAAACTTTATAGTAGGTAATAAGAAGAATATTAATATAACATTGCAACACATATATCATCACACACACATATATATATGCGAGAATAATTTCATAATTAAAACTCGTATTTTTGTGCTACCACTACAGACCCCCTAAAAATTTCATAATTAAAACTCAACCAAAAAATGTCGCATTACGAGCATTTTAGACTAGACCAAATAAAATTCGGGTAACCATACTCTAACAAAACAAATAATATCTATATATAACAGATTCCTAAAAAAGTGGTCGAGCCTTATTTTCTCCAATTCATCAAAAATAGGAATGCCTTTTTAATTGGTTAACCCAAAGGACAAAAGTTTTTATACTTGGTTCGCAATGAAAACACATGAGATGGGAATTTCTAAATCTCAGTGGTTATTGTACACTTGAAACACAGGAAAACTCATGAAACACAAGAAAACTGTCCTCCAAACATGTACACTTGAACATTTTCAGACTTAATTACGCTGCACAATTCAAAAAACCTTCACAATCCTTACGCAAACAGAGGTGTCTACAAGGTAACAACAAGATTGTGACTTCTCTAACCACACAATATTCCAACAACTATAATCAAATGAACTAAAAACCTCAACAAAGAGGAGAAATGCATTTATCTGTAAAACCTTATAAAGATACACTGAATTGATCTATAAACCTCAAAAAAAAAAAAAAAAAAAAACTGACTACACAAAATGGAACAAATAGCAAAACAACACAAGATTGACCAACAAATAAATCATTTGACACATCCACTTGTAAAGGGTAAAAATATACTGAATTCTAAATAATTTAAATATAAAAATAATCATAAACTTACCGGTAGAAATTCAGGTGCCTCAGCACAGCCTCTCTCCCATGCTTTGAGGGAATAACCGTATACAAGCATCATATGCAATCAATGTTTGCCAAGTAGATTGACCACTGAAATAGTTAAAATAACATGCGAGTTGCAAGATATGAGAAAGTGCATTTGAGTCATTTTCAAAGTTTAAAAAGTCATTACTTGGTCACACAAGAGATATCAAAACATAATGAAACTATAGCATGTAAAGGAAAAAATATACATTCGTATATAATATATATATATACCTGATAGTGAAAGTGGGATATATCATCAAGCAAAATGCGAAAACTAATATTAAAAAATATAATAATTTCATGGTGTCGGGATCCGGTAGATCCAGAGGATATGATGTGGTGGGGGTGTGCATCTGTAAATATTTCACTCGTTGGTGGCGCGTCCAATGTGGCCAAAGTACTTAACGAGCTTTCGAAGTAGAGAACGATGGTAGGATCTCCGACGTGATGTGGTTCACTTAGGCCCAAATTAGGACTAAGAACACGTGTTATAGGGCTCTCTTTGTTGCCAAAATCATGAAAATACTCGTAGTTGATGGAGGAGTGACTCAAGAGATGGATAAGGCTCTTTGAAAGAGAAGGGCTCCAAAAGCAGTTTGGGGGTTACTTTGGAGGCTTTGAGTATGTAATTTCGCTGGTGGATAATGTGCTGATGGAGAAAAGAGTGATATGGAGGAGTCTGATGTAGGTTGTTCTGAGAGCGTAGAGATCGTTTGGAGCACTCCCTCCGACTGTAGATGAGAGTGACTCCGCGGTTGGAGGCTTGAATACTTTCAGGAAAGTATGAAGTTAACTCTCAGAACACTCTCAGGTGGTGTTAGAAGAGGATTGAAAAGTGTTCTTGAGGAGTTTCTAAGAAGGTCAACAATTAGAAGCTATGAGGTTCCTCAAGAACTTGAAGAAGACTCCAATCTTTGTACCAAAAGACTTGAAAGGAAGCACTTAAAGAGAGAGCTTCAACACTTTGATGTATTTTCTAATGTGCAGGTACGTTGGTGTTAGAATGAAGAAGGTGAGTGGGTATTTATGGGAGTAAATGGGAGTGCTTGACTGCTGCTCTGACGGAGGTCTGAACACTCATTTCCATCTAGAGGAAGGCTATCAAGGGCCTTTCTAAGTTTGGCAAAGAGATGGTCTGGAAATGGAATGGAAGAAACGACAGCGGGCTGTCAGAGCATTCCCATTCAGACGAAAGGTGTCAGATAGTTTTTCGATTTTGACAAAGAGACTCGTTGAAAATGGGATGAAAAGTTTCTGAAAATTTGCTCCGGTGGTGTTTTGGCGAAGTAAGGCACAAGCAATTCCATTTGGAGGAAAATCTCAGCTACCTTGTCAGAGCAGGAAAAATAAAACCTTAGAAATGGAAATACTTGATGACCAAGTTCTGAATTTTGAGCTGACATGAAGTGACTTCAGACATGAAATCTCTAAGAGTGTTTGATTCAAATAAGTGCCCCAAAGACTTTCCTTTTTGGGGGTTTGATCGTGTATCAGACCTTCGTCAGAGATTGTTTGTACGAGAATGACCAAGCAGCCATTGTATTTGCTCTGACAACAGAATGCTCCTACACCATGTTGCTCTGAATGCGCACGAGTGCTCCGAATGGACAACCTAATATGGAGAAGAGCCATGAAAGCATGCCTGACATGGGGAGTGCTTTGAGAGGCATGTTTGGTCGCGAGAAAAGGCTCCAAATGAGCCAAGACTAATGGATTTCTCAGGCCTTTGAGTTGGAGAAAATTTATGAAGGATCAGGATTGGGTTTTGGGCCTTTCAACGGTTGAAATAAAGGAGTTTGGGCTTTCAAGATAAGGAGAAGGCTTTCTTAGGTTGAATTCTCCATCACCCATCCATGCTTAATTTGACTAATTCTGAAAAACCCCCTAAGCGGGTTTCAAATTGGGTCAAATTAAGGACAAATGAGCCTATGTGATCATTCATGGCCCACCAAACCACAACCCAAGGAGTTCTCCGAGCGTGGCTTGGGTCCATGAAATGAGCTCAATGATGTCGCGGGATGCAAAAGATTGAGCCTGATGGGCCTGGTACGAATTCAGGTATCAACACATAGAAAGAAAACTTCTCTCCTTGTTTTTTCAATAAAATTCAAAAAGCAAATACATTAAAATTTCATGTCATCAATAAAGCATAACATTACCGGAAGAAGTGAGCAAATTTTTTCAGAGACCTAAAATGAACAAATTCGAGACCTAACCAGCAATAATACCAAAAATTATCAAAACCCCATTAAAAGAACAAGCTATGCACTTAAATCACCATATTAATGGCCATACCTTAGTTGATTTGGGGAAGGAGGGACAGGTTCTCGTTGATAAAGTAAACTCTAAAAAAAACCTTTAGAGCATGACAACAAATTAAGAGAGTCAGATCAATTTGAGACAAAACCCATATAAGAGCTTGAGTAAAAGAAAATTTTGTTGCGAGGGAGAGAGAAGATGAGAGTTTACAGAAGAAAAAAGGGAGGAGAAAATGAAAACGAGAAAAGGAACAGACCATCACCGAATATGGAGAGAAAATACAAACCATCGCCGAAGTTGGTGCCGGAATATAGGAAGTCTAGGGCTTGCAAATGGAGAGCTTGGCATCGGTGTTGAGATTGAAAGCAGAGGTCAACAACAGATAAAGCGAGAGAGAGAGAGCAGAGTAGGGTTGAGAGAAATTTATCCATGTAAAATATTAACCATTAGATGTGGTTTAACAATGGTTAACTCAACAACCGTCGTTAAATCCCTTAAAAAAATTTCTGCAAAAAAATAAAAATTTTATGGCGCATTTTATCTTTATATGAGACGACGATTTTTAATAAATCGTTGTCTATTTGACGTCGTTAAATCTCCAGATTTTAGTAGTGTCACCGCCACCATTATGATTTGTTTTTCTACAATAAATACCAAAACATTTAAACAAAAACTTCTCAACATGAAAAAAGCATCAAATCAACATCACATAAAAGAAAGCCCTAAAAAAATAATCAAAATCTTCTTCAAAGAACGAAGTTTGAAGTAAATCAATAGTATTTTTACTAAATGAAGTAAGTAAACAGCAGTAAATGATAAATTTACTAGGTAAATAAACTATTTATTGGAGAGTTTTTGTTTTTGTTTTCTCTAAATCCCATAAACATAATCAAATTATTTAATCGTAATACAAAGAGATCTCAGGAAAAAAAAAGAGAGGTAAATACAAATATGCTGATGAAAATAAAAAACAAACTAGTACTTCAACATCAGTCATTGATAAACATACCAATTAATCTTAATAGAAAAAGAACCCCATGCATCACTTTCATAATTTGGCTATTACGAATAAAGTTTCTTGCGGAATTCGTCACCCCGGTGGAGAATAGACTGTGAACCATGTCTGGACAGCAGTCATGAAAAGTACGATAACCGCGGCGAGAAAAGCCACTATAGTCCAGGGAGTACTGAAATGGTCGCTGCAAACTTGAGCCATCCAAGTCATCCACTTGTTCTTACAATGTTTCTCTATTTTTTCAATGACCTCCGCATACACCTTAGGGTCCGGTACCAGATCGGTGGCAATCTTGTTGAACAGCTTTTCCACTTGTTTGTCGCTTCCGAGAACGTTGTAAAGTATTCCAGCCGTCCTCAGCTCCTTAACGTCGGCCGCGTAATCTATGAGAGAGTCAAGGAAGCAGATGTAAGAGGTAACCTCGTAGTTTGTCTCCATGTTGTCGGGACACATCTCGTACGCTATGAGGTTCATGAATTTGGGTGCCATCGAGTCATCGACGATCAGTGGAGGGAGTACCAGCTCGCCCGCGAAGCTCACGGAAGAAAATTTTATGTCTTTCAATGAACAAGTCTTGCTAGGTTTCAAGTTTATCCCTGCTGCCTTAAGATCCCGGACACTGCGGAAAGACTGATCACGCTGTTCGATCAAGCCCTGTTGATGATCTGACCGTGACACTATGAAATTGACAAATTAAGAATAATTTCAATTGGATGCAGTGCAGATTAGCCTCATGTTAAAAGACAGAACAAGGAAGGCCTATTCTCGTAAATAACTGTAATACCCAACTTTCTGAGCTTATATCTTATTATTTGAATTTTCTATGGAGGAGCATGTATATGAGTTTTTAAGTTTATTGGTATAAGTAATGATTTACATTTGTATGCACTAGATTTGAGTTTGACCAAGTCCGCAATTTCGTTGGTTTAAGGGCTAGCTTGTAGTTATATTTATAACCTAGCCTATATTTTTAACAAAAATGCTTTTTGGTCACGACTCCACGTGGTTATCCCAGTGGTCATATTTTAGTTTTGTACTTAAAAAATCAGAAATGCTTAAGTCTACAAGTGGATCGTGAGAATCGTGAGGCAAAACAAATCGGGTTAAATAATAAATAGCAGTGCTTTATTTTTAACGAGCAATATTGTAAGAATGGTTGTATTAAGCACTACTATTTAATAGAATATGTGAGATTTATAAGTGGAGTCTATTTTTTATTAAATAATGGTGTTTTGTATTTTTCATTTTTAATGGGTTTTTCTAGAGGTTAGTCAGCTTTTCATTTCCCTCCGCGTGTATACGAAGAGCTACTTGCTTAACTCTCTTTCCTTCCACTAATTAATACCTGATTATGCTAGAACTTTCACATGCCTTCTACCGTTTTTATGCTATCAATTAAATTTCTAGTCCATCTCTATTAGTTGATCCCAATGCAAAAATCAACCGAAGACAACATATTCAATTTTGAATGGCCCAGGACCTTCCTTTGTTCTCGTGTAAATTGAGTATTAGAGCTTACATAAAACCTCAGCAGCAAGTTCTCATGGTAATTTTGTTTTAGTAGCTATAGTAATTAATGTTTATTGTATGTAGCAGTATAGAATCTACTTAGATAATCATTTACTTCATTGGACTTCTGAGTGGACAGATTTTAAACTACGCATTAAGAAGTATAAGTTTGTTATAATGATTTTAGTATTGCTTAACAGCAATGACTTAGGATACGATATGATAATGATGTAAGATCTGATCATCATGTTGATATTATATATAACGTGAGATTGATGATTTCCAACACATAACAATGATGCTTGACAAAAAACAATGATTCCATGAGGGATTGATCCTTAGTAATTATGCCCAACTTCTATTATGTCAAGACCTTAGTAATAAGCCTACTACATGTGTACATATGTGAAGTGCTCTTATTTACAAGTAGAGAAAGATAAAGCACTTAAAAAGTGATGTAACAGCTATGTAGTTATACATAATATAGAGTATCAGCTTTGATTTTTAGACATAAGTGGGATTTATTTTATCAATTGTAGGCTCAGGCAACTTATATTTGGTGAAAGTGATGGTTCTAAGTAATTTCTAATATGACGATATTTCTATTATCTAATGTTAAGCTTTACCAAGTCTTCTTGGGTTGTTATAGTTATAGCGAGGCAAAAAGTAAGTAAATCTACTGCATCACTTGCTATTAGTAGTATGTTTTTAATTAATATTTTCAATTTATATATATATATTATTATTGTAATGCTTTCATAAGATTTTGAAAGTAGATTTTGAGTGTGATGTGAAATCTTATGTGTATTTTAAATGCAGAAATTAATTTATGGTTTATTTATTGAGCTATTGCTCATATAATTCTTGTGATGTAGGTAATAAGTTCGATAATTGAAGTTCTTTTGACTGAGAAAGAATGCTCTGAGATCCCACGTTGAATTTAGAGATTCCAAGATTCAATATTTATAATCCTAAAAAATTTGATCGAGGAACATTATTTTTCCATTTTACAGTTTTAGTTAATGATTCTCTCCAGCGGGTGGAGTTTTTAATTGCTAGCTTGAGAGAGGCGTTATAATAACTTAAATGGTTATTGGCACAAATGGTCCTTTGTTGAATGTGATTGTGACCTTTTGCAACATATTTTGCTTTCTTTCCATCTTTATTTTTCCTCTCTCATAACTTTCTTTTTTTTTTTTTTTTTTGCTTTGTGGGGTTGTCAGAAATGGCGGTGGTTAATTTAACTCTGGTGTTTGATTATTGGGCAAATGAGGTTGGAGATTGAAACGTCTTTTAATATTTTTTGGGTGGTTCGGTTTCATTGCTTAGATCTCAAGTGATAAGCAGGAGATTGGGGACCATCTGTGGAAGTTGAGGTTTGGGGGGATGTTTTAAAGAGAGAGAGGCAGAGGCGTTTTGTTGTTGTAGTTGATGAAATATGAATGATGCTGATATTATTTGTGTTTGTTCTTTGCTTTGAAGGTTGTAATGTAGAAGATTGAGAAAGACAGCTTCTGGTTTCGAAGAAATTACTTAATGGATGTTGTTGCTTTTGTTGTTGTTGTTTTTGTCTTCCATCGTCGGCCATGGGAGTCTAAAGGAGGTTGGGGAGATTTAGGGTTCAGAGATTGTTAGATTTGGAGTTGAATTTAGGGAAAAAAGAAGAAGAAGAAGTCTTTCTGATCAGAGCATTTAAGTCATTTTATTAGAAAAAAGGGTCACATGATTGGTCACGTAACACATTCTGTGAAGAACTTAACATATTTTAACCGAAAGGACTAAATTTTACCTGTTTAAAGAGGTTGTGGGTCATTTTACCAAAAAGAATTAGGAACCAAACTGTTACTTACTAAAGTGGTTGAAGACCATTTATGTCAATAACCCTAACAAAAATTATGGACTTTTTTTTTTATATATAGAAAAAGTGTAACATTTTCGTTTACTTTATCTTTGTTATCTATGAAGTATAAATGTAAAGCGTCCAAAAAAAAAATTACAAATATATAGTTTCCTAAAGATTAGTGATTGGTTTACCTCGAGACCAAATTTTACAGACTTTTTTTTTCGAAAAAAATAGAACATTTAAATTTTTGTTAACTAGATGTTCTTAGTTTCGCTAAATTAATGAAATATCCTTTCTTACAAAATTACTTTCAAAAATCCTTATGTTTGCTAAATCATTGATAGATCTTGGAAAATCATTGTTCAATTTATCGTTACTCTCAATGTAGGTTTAAGTATCAATCTTCAAGTACGTAAAATATTGATTCTTAAATTTTTTAAAAAGTCGGTTATATTTTTCAATCTAACATTAGGATAACGTTTACTTTGCTCTTAAAAAGGAGGTATTGTTGCACATATCAAGAAAAAAATTTGTCCAAAATAACCATTTATCATAAATTTCCCTTAATAGAAGGTGGATAACAAAACAAATGTTGCATATTAATTTTGTTAGGTATTATATATCGTGCGCATATTTCATGTTCAATTTGATATCTAAAATGATGCTTAACTAATTAAATCATGTCACATCATTAAGATTTTAAAATTCTTTATATTAGATGTTTTTTTTTCTTTTTTTTTTCACATTTGAGTCCATTAAATGACATGGAAAAATATAATTAATACATACCATTTGAGAGCTAAAAAATTGGATATATCTAACCATTAATATTTTATTTAGCTCAGCGATAAAAGGACATACCACCCTTTTGCCGATTCCTGATCAGGGGTAGTTTGATTTGAACTGACTGCAAAATAGCTTTTATAATATTGGTTTGGACAGGTGCGCCTCCTCCACCGCCTCCTCCACCGCCTCCTCCACTGCCTAATGTACCTAGATCATATCGAATGCGAGCTAATCGGAGAAGATCAAGAAGAGTAGCCGGATTAGTTTCCACCTCATCTAACATTGTATTAGATGTCTTTTTTTTTTTTCTTTTTTTATTAACATTTGAGTCCATTAAATGACATGGAAAAAATATAATTAATACATACCATTTGAGAGCTAAAAATATTGGATACATCTAACCATTAATATGTTATTTAGCTCATCGATAATAGGGCATACCTCGCTTTTGCCGAATGATCGGGGGTAGTAAATATTTTTCTAGTCCACAACAGTCACGGCGATCATGAGCAGGCTGCCGATTAGTTTCTCCAGCATTAATATTGGTTTGATGATCAGATGGTGCTGGATGTTGAAGGAGAGCTAATCGGAAAAGATCAAGAAGATGAGCCGGATTAGTTCCCGCCTCCGCTTTGAATATTTCTTCCTTGTACTTTACTGGTGCCAAGACATTTCTTCTGATAAACTCGTACAAAGTAGATAACTTAACCTTGTCTTTACTCTTGTCCATCAACAACTCGAGGAGTCGGTAGGGAATTTGGTTCTCAAGCAACAACAAATCGCAGTATATGAATGTTGCTTGTTCAACCTTGATCTTTAACTCTTTTAACTCATCTGGCTTGAAACTGCTAGCTATGAACTGCAGTATTGCACACCCATCAAAGAAAAGGATCCGGTTAAGTGTCTCCTTATTATTAGTAAAGCGCTGAATCACCTCCTCATCGTAGCGTTGCTCGAGTCCGATGATGTTGCTCTTGATCTCTTCGTATAATACTTCGTAGGAACTGTACCCACTGTCGCGGATGAATTTCGCAACTAATTGGAGCTTGCACATCTCTGAGACCTTGAGCTTTGGGTTGTTGTAGTGAATTGGACCAAAAGAGATCCACATTGGTTCAAAGTACTTCTTCAAACACTCCCGTTCTCGCAGGAACGACGGCACCCTTTGTATCTTTGCGGCTGATAGCGCAGTTGGGGGCGCTGCTTGATCTTTCGGCGCCATTAACAGTTTCAATTTCTCCTCAAATTCACTTACAGCCTCCTGTTCCGTCATTTTTAGATGATCAATGTGTGCCTACCAGAGAGCAAGGAAAAAAAAAAAAAAAGAAAAAAAAGAGAGAGATAGAAAAAGACAAAAAGAAAGAAGGTCAATGTATGTGTTACATAGGCAAATTATTTGTGGCTCATTTTAGTTCTAACATTTGTATTTGTGTTCTTCATATATGTAGTTAAGGACCTTCTTTTTTTTTTTTTCCCCTTTTTTAACCTTCTTTTTTCATAGAGGAAGGTTGGTATCAAATACTTGCCCCCCAGGGGTACGAAATTCTTCGGAGTTAAAGCGAAGACGGATTTCCACTTTTTCTTCTAGGCAAGAGAACTAAGATGCTTGCAATTGTACGACTGTTCCTTTAGAGCAATATGATCGATGCACTTTTGTGAATCTCACACATTCTTATTTTGGCTCAAAGTAACGAGCTCCGCGTGATCTGTCTCGATCATTATTATATATGCCTTATAATTGATCTTCTATAGAAATTTAGTATTGTTAAGATAATTAGTTTATCTTAGGAATGAAGCTGATCTGGAAATGAAAATGCTAATTTACTTTTTTAAAGTTTCATGCTTTGGCGTAACATTTCACTTGTGAACTGACATCCTTCATAAACAAGAAGCCTCAAAGAATTTATCGTGCTTCACGTTTTTTTTCCTAAAAAAAAAAAAAAAAAAAAAACCACAAAACCCGGCTCGTAAATGAAATATTACTCCATGAAAATTAGGGAAATTACAAAATAATCCCTCGATTCAACTTTTTTTTTTAAAGAAATAATGAGAAGAATCAACTAGCATTAAGTGAGACAAGACATCTCAATTAAGTTGGCATACTTTATAGCTCCTATCCATACTAAGCTCCTCGCTCTATATTATTAAAACAAAACTAAAAAACAACTGAGGATTCTGTCTTAACTCTTAAAGCATGAGATATAATTTGAATATTTTATTATTGATAAAATAAAGTGAATTTTCATTATTTTATGTGCTTATCTCATTGAATACTTTACGAATATCATCGAAAATTTTGTGATTATCTATGTGACCTTAAATATTGTATATAAGTATTATATACAGGAGTATAATATTTAAAGATAAGAATCGAAATATGCCCATAATAAATTTAATCAAAGTTTCAAAATCTTTAATTAAAATATTAATAATGCATGTCATTCCTATTAAGAATGAAACGATCTTATCCATATCGTGAATATGGATTGATATTGAATGAGTGTATTTTACACAATAAGGTTATGTAGGACTGGGCCAAGATACAATTTGAATTTTTAATAATTTTTGTTAAGTATAGAATTCAAATTAAGTCTGCCGATGGTCATAAATAACATGATTTTAATCTTGAGTTATTAACAAACTTCTATTTATGAAATTATATCGTTTGACTTATTTGGTATGTATTTTGAGATTGTTAAATCTTTTTTCTTGCATCTTGGAGTAGGTAGCTGAGAATATTAATATGCGAGATAAAATCTATTCTTTTTTAAAAGAAGAAATAGATAAATAATTCTCTTGAGTCTTAATTCAGTCTTGAATAGTAAGAGTGCTTAGTTGTTATGAAGTTCATGAATTTATTATTCATTAGAGGATCAGTGACACCTAAAATAAAGATAATTAGAGAGATTAACGGATTTCTACCGAGTTCTAGCTATAGATATTTGTGAAGAACTGAGATAAATGTAATGACTATATTAAATGAACGCTTCATGTTTTTAGAAGTAATTAAATGTCTATAATTACAAGAGTGCAATTCTAAGTTTATAATGTTACTATGAGAAATAATAAAATTAATTAATTAATTAAAGAGTTTAATTAATTATTAATTTTATTCGAGCTTAAGTGGCTCCTGAGCGGCGGTGGCGGATGACGATGAGCAACAAATTATGGGTTTGTTTTCTTTGAGGGAGGGAGGAATAGAGCGGGTGGGATGATATGTTCACATGTGAGGGGGAAAATTTTTGAGTTAGGGAAGCTTCTAGATTTTCACTTTTAGACTGTTTATTTTCAGAAATTCGCTTTCATATCTGCCTCTACACATTGACCATCGAAATGGTTTGAAATTTCTTTTCTTTGAGATTAGTTTTTTATTTTTTTGTCTGGATTTAGAGATTTTTTTTTATTTAATTAGGTATTTTTTATTAGATTTCGTAGAGACTTTTAGTTTTGAAGTATTTGTGTTACATATATATTGATTATTTATGAGAAGGTGACTTTGTAACATGTTGTTTTGAATTTTTTCATGTGTGTTGATCAATGACTTGTGATAACATTTGAAGATATAATTTTTTCAGCAAATAATTAGTTTTCAGCAAAAAAAAAATATATTTTTAATTTTTTTAATACTTTTAATGACCGTTTTGTTTTTTAAAAATTGTTGTTAAAAGTTACATATTAGGCGATGGTTTTTAAAAACATTGTTCTTAAAAGTTGATATTAGATGATTGTTTTTCAAAAAACCGTCGTCTATTGTGCCTTTTTAAACTCTTGTGGTGTCTCACACGCGTATTAGACGACAATTAATATCGTCGTCGTATCTCTTAGACATTTAACGACTCTGGATACAACGACAGTTTTTAACCGTGGTCTTATCTCCTATTTGTTATAGTATATATTCCATGGGTTTTGCAATCTATCATCCTTAAGGAATTTTGCCCTCGAAAATCAAGAATGAGTCATTAAAAATGACACCGGAGAGATTAAAAGGATTACGACATTAAGATAAAGGAGTAATTGGCATAAATGGTTCCTAAACTCTTTAGGAAGTGATAGTTTGGTATTTATTCTTTTAATTTTGACAAAATGCTGCCTAAACTCTTTAATTAGATTTGGACGGAAAGGTGTAAATTACAACTGATTAAAGTATTTAGAAAGTATTTTGTTAAAATTAAAAGAATAAAGTCTAAATTGTCACCTATTAAAAAATTTAGGTGATAAAGAATTGGTTTTGGGCTGTGGCTCCTTCTCTTACAGTGGAGAAGAAAAAGTTAATAACTTAAAAATCAGTTTGACATCTCATGCATATGGAGAGATGAAAAATATACATCTACGTACTGGGATCTGAACAAAAAGGTTGTTTCAGTTTATCCGAATATTTCTATTTCAGATTAATTTGACTTTTGCATTTGAGAAGAAAACAGAATCTAGCTATTCTATCTATCAATTTGAGAAGAGCACCGAGCATGAACTAACCATTATGTCAGTAAAAGTATAATTGGGAAAGAAACGGAGGGGTGGGAGAGATAAGAGAAATACGATACGACTTTTTCACTTGTCGTTGTTTACTTTATTTTTTTTTTTTAGAGATTTTTTTGATACGTGTCGCGTAATAATAATTTATATTTTTTTAATTATTAAATTTATATATTTTTTAATTTTTATGTAATTTTATTTAAATTTAATGGACAATATACTTGACTTATTAATATATTAACGTATTAAATGTCTTTTTTTTTATTTTTATGTTTTCGTTTCTTTATTGCGTTTTATTCTTGGACCCTATATACTTAGGCCTCCTTTTTAGTCAGAAAACTCAAAACCTATGTGCCTATTTACGTTTCAAACTTCGTAGAATTTATTGCCTTATGTTAAAATGTACCTGCGGGATTAAAGATCAACTCCCTAAAATTTAATATATAATTAAGTCTATTGTTATTTTTTTATTTTATTTAAAGATTGTTTGGTTATTAAAAAAATTTAATTTAAAAGGGTGTAGAGAGTAAAAAGAGAGTGCGTATAAAACCACACTGAAAATAATATAATTTTAGAATAGAAATCATAAAATAAATATTTTATCCATCCAATGTGGTATGAGCGCCTGTAATATTAGGCAGTCTCAGATGGGACAGAACATGCGACGAACAATATAGGGAGGGAGCAGATATTTTTCTAATTCCAAGTCTAATAAGTGCAAATATAGTAATAGAGAGACAAAATGCTTTCTCCGCATCTATGCTAACTAATAAGACAGTCTTTCATATAAATGTTAATGTTATATTTTATGTTAAAAAAAATAATAGAATATGTTATATTTGAAATGTTAAAAAATATTTTTTATAATTATTAAGTTTTGAAAGTTGTAAAAATAATTTTGTACTTTTAAAATAATTGAGAAAGAAAAAGTTGTAATTATTACATGACAAAAATAACTATATTAACTAATAGAAATTAATTGTTAAATTTCTCATATACTTTATTTGCTGATTAATTTATTACAAAGTATAACATAGGTCAAATATTTCACAATAAATAATATTATAATAGAAAGTGTTTTTTACACTCTAATATAAAATTTAAAATGGACATCCAAATTGTAGCATTGCATTGGATATCCCTTATCGTACCCAAGAAGAGAGTTACTTTTAATTCAACAAATACAATCGTTTATTAATTTAATCAAAATACAAATGGATCTCCAAGAAAAAACAGAGGGAAATACAATGCAATACGCTAGTGAAAAGAAGAACCGTACTTGTTCAAACTTCACTTATTGATAAAACACAAACACCAAACTTAATACAAAACAATCACACTACATTCAGAGTACTACTTTATTGATTTGGCGATCTTACGATTTAAGGTTCCAGCAGAAGTCATCTCAGGCATCCGGCGGAGAATAGACCGTGAACCAAGTCTGGACACCGGACATGAAAAGCGCGAGAACTGCCGCGAAAAAAGTCACTATAGTCCATGGAGTACTAAAATGGTCGCTGTAGACTTGAGCCATCCAAGTCATCCACCTGTTCTTATAATGTTTCTCTATTTTTTCAATGACCTTCTCATACACCTTCAGGTTCGGCACTAGATCGGTCGCAATCCTGTTGAAAAGCCTAGCCACATCTTTGTCGCATCCGAGAAGGTTGTTCAGTATTTCAGCCGTCCTCAACTCTTTAACGTCAGCCGGGTAATCTATGAGAGAGTCAAGGAAGCAGATGTAAGAGGTGACCTCGTACTTTGTCTCCATGTTGTCGGGACACATCTCGTATGCTATAAGATTCATGAATTTGGGCGCCATCGAGTCGTCGACGATCAGTCGAGGGAGTTCTAGCTCGCCCGCGAAGCGCACAGAAGTGAATTTTATGTCGTTCAATGAGCAACTCTTGCTTGGTTTCAAGTTTATCCCGGCTGCTCTAAGATCCTGGACACTGCGGAAAGATTGTTGTTCGAAATCTTTTGTGCCTTCTTTCTTTTTATCTGACAGAACTAAATAGCCATTTCAATTGGATGCAGTGCAGGTCGCCTCATGTTATAGCTAAGATTATGGCAGAACTAAATAGCCTAAATTCTGGTTTGAAAAAAAAAAAAAAAACAGTTCTAATATTTTATGTTTGCCTTATATTTTATCTTTGGAGGAATGCGAGCATTATCTTTTTTGTCAATTTTTTTTGTTAGTTTTTATATTCATTGTTCAACACGTATACTCTATTAACACGATATATTAGTATTTGTAAATTTTATGTGTCAAATAGTAAATGCAGAAAATTACAGAGTGACAAAAAGGGGACGCCAATATGTTTCTGTTATGTATGAATTACAGTTTCCAAAAAAGTATATTATAAATCAACATGTTACTAAATTTACTGACCTTTTTTTTTTGGAAAAAAAGGGAAAATATCCTATTGAATAAAAATGCATTAATTTTGTTAAAAGGTGTTTACGTGATACATTTGCCTAATAAATGTTTAACACTTGGTTGTTAAAATAGTATACGTTTAATGATCAAGTAATCCTCAGCTGATAAGAGAACATGATAAATTTTTAAAACAAGATAAGCGGTTATATTTGTAACAAAAAAAAAAAAATGCCTCATTGCGCATGTAGCGGTTCTCACCTGCCTGTGATGGTTCTGGAGGATTCTCTGCATCAACATTTTTTCTTGAGTCCGTCCCTAAACATTGGTTATGAATGCTAAGCTCTGTTTAGTACTATGCAAATAAACATTTTGGGTAAGATATGATTCTCCCCATTTGATCTTGATGAGATAAGATTTTTTTTTTTTTTTTAAAACAAACTTGAACGTTTCTTTATCTTTTCTTTACTTTTTGCTATTTTTATTTGAACTTAAATCATTTCCTTTATTTCTTTTTCTTTTTTTTTTTTTTTTGCTTGTAACGATTTTTTTTCCTTACGTTTCCGTTTTGCTTGTTTTATTTTAACAACTTTAAAATTACTTTTCCAAATTCCTTGATTATATTCACATGACTAAGCTCTTCTATTATATCATCATTCATCATAAACAGTTAAGGCAGATGATTGTTATAACGCTTAAAAAAAGAGAAAACTCTCTGCATTTTTATTCTTCAACTTCACAAATTATGTGGAGGAGAAAAAAATTCAATGGAAGGCTTTTTTTTTCCCCCTAATGCGTTAAATGAAAAGATTCAACCAAAAAATAACGAAAGTGAATCTTTAAGAAAAAAGGAAATAATTAGAATTCTTAAATATATCAGCATGGTTTAATAAAATCTTGGGGTGTTCAATAAAATTTCCTTAAAAGTTTTAAAAAAGAGTTCATTTTTGCACATATCAATAAAAAAAAATTATAAACTAAGCATTCATCACAAGTTTCCCCAAATAAAATAACATAACCGAACAAATGTTGCATCTTATTTTCTCGCATGCTTTATCCAACAATTAAAACTTTATCTTGTTTCCTCATATATATATATATATATATATATATGAGAGTGTGATTTTAATTGTTGCTCTAATCTAATATTTATTTATTAATAAGTATTAAGTATTTTTGTTTTAGGAGTCTATATATATAATATGCTCATCGATTAGATCAGAACATACCTTCTTTTTGCGGATTCCTCAGGGGTAGTTCACAACGGTGAGCAGGCTTTGGATCAGGTTCTGAAGGTTGAATGAGAGCCACTCGGAGAAGATCAAGAAGATGAGCCATATTAGCATCCACTTTGAAATCTTTCTGGTACTTTTCGGGTGCCATCACATTTTTTCTTATAAAATTTTTCAACGATTTCTGTAACTCTTCCTTCTTGCTTACCTTTTTTGCATTCATCAGCAGCTCCAGGACTCGGTAGGGAATTTGGTTCTCAAGCAAGAACAAATCGTGGTTTATGAATGCTATTTGGTCGTTCTTTATCTTCAACTCTTTGAAGTCATCTTTCTTGGAACAGCTGTGTATGAACTGCAGTATTGTGCACCCATCAAAAAACAATATCCAGTTTAGAGTCTCCTTGTCAAAATCCTTATCAAAGGCCTCCTCATCGAAGCATTCCCAGATCAGCCCGTCGATGCCGATCTTGATCTCGCCGTACAGTTCTTCGTCGGATTTGTATCCGTTGTCACGGATGAATTTCGCAACCAATTCGAGCTTGTGCTTCTCTGCTGCCTTGAGCTTTGGTTTTCCGTAGTGAATTGGGCCGAAGGAGATCCATCTTGGCTCAAAGTACTGCCCCAACTCCTTCTGTTCTCGCAGAACCGCCGGAACCCTTTGTATCTTTCCCTTTTGTTGGACAGTGGTGCTGCCAGGCGAAGTTTTAGCTACTTTATCTTTTAATTTCTCACGGAATTCACTCATCATAGCAGTCTTTGTCACCATTTTCAGTTGATGAATGTATGCGCTCTAACAGATGAGGAAAGAAGAGAGAAAAATTTTCAAAGGAACAGAAAAAGACAAAAACAAAAGAAGGTCAATGCATGTTTTACGTAGGCAAATATCTGCGGTTCTGTTTAGTTCTTACCTTTGTATTTGTTTCTATATTTCTATATATATAGATGGAGTTAAGGATGTACTTTTTCCGGCCTCTTTATTCATAGAGGAAGGTTGGTATCAAATACTACTAAGTGTATTACTTTTCCTTTCATTTTCTTTATTGCATGCAATTGTAAGATCACTTCTTCTTTAGAAGAATACGATCTATTTTTGTGAAACTCTAACATTCTTAATTTCCTGGCTTAAAGTAACAAGCTCTGCACGTGTTTCATAAATATTCATGTTTATTTTCTTTATTGTTTGCTGTTGTAAGATCACTTCTTTTGAAGAATACATCTACTTTTGTGAAACTCAAACATTCTTAATTTTCTGGCTTAAAGTAACGAACTCTGCGCTTGTTTCATAAATATTCATGTTTAGGATTTGTTGATGTTGGGAATAAAGATGATTTGGGAATGAAAATGCTATTTTACTTTTTTAAAGTTGCATACTTTGGCATAAAATTCCACCGTCTGAACTGACAGTAACCTTGATAATAAGCAAGTAACCAAAAGGGATTTATTGTACTTAATTTAGTGGAATAAAGGGTCCTTGCGACAGTAAAAAAAAGCTTCTTCACACTTTTAAAAGAGTGTCCTTGACAAAAACCAAAAAAAAAAAAAAAAAAGAAAGAAAGAAAAACGTGAAGCACGTTAATGGAATGTTTGTCCCTGAAAACAAGAGAAAATTACAATGTAATCCAACGGTTTAAACTGATAATAACACAAATCAAAACATTCTACTTCGAGGAATGATAGGTTAAATCAAATTTCCAAATCAGTTATAAAATGATCCCATTTAGTTCAGAAACGAAGCTGTTTGTATCTTATTGATTATATATGGACGTTAAATTAAATATCTTCTTGTATCGGCCTATATTCGTTAAGAGAGAAAGAGATTAAAGACTCACACATTTTCATTAAATAATAAGCGGGTCTTAGATGAGTTTGTTTGCTAAATCACCTTATCGAGAGGACTTGGATCCTCTGTCCAAAGTTTCCAGTCTCAAACCGTATCCAACAAATGATTATGGACCACGTTATCTAGAAACGACGAATACTTGAATTTGGTTAGGGTGTATCTACTGACACCCTTCTATTATTTTTATTTTTCACACTTACATTGTTAAACTACCCTCATTCTACTTGTTACACTCTTCTTAAAATTTCAAAAAAGCCCCTATAACTAAATCACCCTCAATTCTACTTTTTACACACACATTCTTAAACCACCCCCATTCTACTTGTTATACCCCCTTAAAATTTAGAAAAAAAAAATCTAGATTTTTTTTTCTCATATTCATCCTCCCACCAATCAACTTATCCTTTTCTTTCTTTTATTATTTTTCATATACATAAAATTGAAGTGATTTTTTTTTTTGGAAGAGATATATGATTTATAAGAACATTGGTCTGCAACTTTTTCTTTCCTTCTATGATTTATAAGAACATTGGGGTGTGTAATGAGTATTTTTTAATACTATTGTCCTTAAAAGTAATTATATTAATAGGTCTTTTATAAAACAACAAAATTGTCTTTTAATAACGGTTAATTATAGCGTTTTTAAAAAAACGTTACCTCAGTTTAATATAATAGCGTTTATAAATAGTTATAATATGTTTGTATATATATATATATATATATATATATTAGTTTAATACTTTAATACAATGCTAAGTAAAACGTACTTGGTAGTACTCTAGACCAAGAGATAGAGAATCTGAAGGAGTCGAAACCCGTTTCTTTCAGTCGCTTGATGTCACTCTGTGACAAATTTAAGCATTTTTAGGCTAACAAAAAATAATATTTGCAAATCCCACATAGACAGAAAGTATATTTCACTATTGTTTTTCTCATGCGTAAGTTCATGTATCCCAAAGAAATTGTGAAAGAATATAGGAAATATAGACATATAGTACTAAAAATGTACTGTGTAGTTATAGCAAGTCAAGCATTTTAAACCTTGTATCTATAATAGAATTCATCTGCGATTTTTCCAGAGCTGTTATCTGCTATTTTTTCTGTTAAATTCAAGAGAAGGTACAGAAATGTTAGATAAAATCGCAAATACGTTATGGTAAGGTAAAAAAAAAAAGTATTTGTATTAAACCTGGATGATCCTTAGTGAAGGTATCCCATATACTGGGTTTTCTTCCATCCACATCTGTCGCTCCTTCATACTTTTGTCACGCGCACACATATATGTACATATATATATATATATATTAAACATAGCAATTCCACATATCATAAACGTAGTAAAAAATAATATCAACAACAACAATTCGGTGCCAACAAATATATATATTAAACATAGCAATTCCACATATCATAAACGTAGTAAAAAATAATATCAACAACAACAATTCGGTGCCAACAAATATATATATTAAACATAGCAATTCCACATATCATAAACGTAGTAAAAAATAATATCAACAACAACAATTCGGTGCCAACAAATATATATATTAAACATAGCAATTCCACATATCATAAACGTAGTAAAAAATAATATCAACAACAACAATTCGGTGCCAACAAATATGTATATTAAACATAGGAATTCCACATATCATAAAAGTAGTAAAAAAAAAAA